TTATTTTGAAACTTAAAAACACTCTTTAAACTTTTGTATTAAAGGAGAAAACAAAAGTCAATTTATAAGGTATCTGGAGATCAACAAAAGGAGCACAATTTATTCTAAAAAACTATGAGATAGAGTGAAAGGTATAGTGGAAACTTTACAGCTTTTAGATTTTTTATTATTTATTAATAAAGACAGTATACCCTATGAAATGAGAAAAAAGAATGACAAAACAAGCTAAACTAAAATACATTAGAAAGAGGAAATAATAAAGATAAAAGCTGAAGTTAATGAAACAAAAATTATAGAAAGGATAAATATAATAGGTGGTTATTTGAAACAATAAAATAGATATCAGATTTATGTGTCTGATTAGAAAACTCGTAAAGAGTAAAAAATTTACAAGACTAGAAATGAGAAAAAGGACATAATCAGAAATGCTGGAGTGATTCAAAGAAGATAACAAAGGTAACTGCATTCAACTCTATGGCATAGAATTTGAAAAAAACAGAAAGAAATGGATTATTTCCTTGTCAAATATGATGTCCAAATTTGACTCAGGAATAAGTTGAGAAATTTGCATAAGACATTACCATGAAAGTGATTGGAAAAGTGATTAAAGATCTACCACTTAAAAAGGTAATGGAATCATACAGAGTTACAGCTGAGTTTTATGTAACCTTTAAAAAGCAAATAATTGTACTATTATTTAAACTTTCAGAAGATTATGAAAAGCTCCTTATTCATTTATAAAATTAAACATACATTTTAATTACAAAACCCAATAGAGTACAAAACAAGTCTGGAGACTTCTTTAATGTTGAATATAGATGCAAAACTTCTAAATAAAATATTAACAGGTAGAACCCATCAGTGTATATGAGGATGCAACTATGACCAGGTAGGGTTTATTCTAAGAATACAAGAGTGGAAACCTATCAGTGCAGTCTTTCACATGATCAAATTAAAGATAGAAAACCATATGACCACATGAATAGATGCTGAAAAAGAATTTAATAAATGTATAGACATTACTAATAAAAAGTATAAATTAAGAACAAAAAGAATGGCTAGAAACCATTTTAATATAATGGACCATTTACCAAAACCAACAATAAGTATCATTCTAAACAGGAAAACAATAAAATTACAATGTCAGGAACTAAACAGCTTTACTATCTCTATGCATTCAATCATTTAACAAGTATTTTTTTAGCACCTGTTTTGGGCCACAGTAGTGTTAAATGTTCTGAGGAATGAACAAAGAAGAAAAGAACTATGATTCATGGAGCTTGTATTTTTGTGGAAATTGTTATTTAACATTGTCTCAGAGTTTCTGGTGAAATGGTTGGAACAAGAAAAATGAAATAACTGGAATAAATATTGAAAAAGACACGCTTACACTATCTTTTTCCTAATAATTTGATTGTATACCTTGCAAATCCAAGATACTTAGTAAAACTTATTAGAATGAATAAGAGAATTTGGTAAGTTGCTGGATTCAAAATAAATAAAATTCCCCTCCCTCCGCCCGGTCCCCAATAATAGCAATAGGCCTTTAGAATGAAAAGTGGGGAAAATTAGAATAGTGAAAAAAACATAAAAATACTAATGAATAAGTTTAAAAGAAAGGCATGAAACGTGGAGAAAATAAAAATGTCTTATCGAAGAACATAAAGCAAGATTTGAACAAAGGAGAGACATACCATGTTCTTGGAATGAAATATTATACATTTGATGCTGTTTCAATTCCAATCTCAAAAGTTGTTTTCAATTTGATAAAATGATCTGAAAGTTTGTAATAGAAGGTTAAGTGCCACTAATAGTTGAGAAAAGAATTCCTTCGCACCCTCTAAACCACTGGAATGTGAATTCCATAAGGAAAGGGATTTTGCTCAGTGTTGAATCTTCAGCACCTATAACCGTATCTGGAACACAGTAGACACTTAATAGTTGAATGAATAAATAAAAAAAGACTACTGAGGGGAAACTTAACCAGTTATCAGAATATACTAAAAAGCCATAGTATTCAAATTATTATGGTCGAGGCAGATGGCTAGACAAATTGATCAGTGGAATACAATAGAAAATTTGAAATAGATTTCAGAATGCATGAGAATTTAACATATGACAAAGGTTATATTTTAATCAGCAAATAATGGATTCTTTAACAAATGGAATTGACATGGATGGATTTTGACCTGGAAGAAAATAAAATTAGAATCCTATCTTATACCATACGTAAAAATGAAAAATAAAGCAAGACAAATTTTGTAAGAAAATAACTACATGTACAATATTAAGAACAGTATTAACTAAGTTTAGAGACTTAAAAGCTACAAGAGAAAAGATAAACATAAAACTGTACAGAAGTAAATATTTTGTATTTCAAAGGATATTAAGAAAAGCCAATAAATAGTAAATTTTGGAGAAGTGATTGCAATACTGAGGACAGAGTTCAATATCTGTAATGACAAAGAACATTTACAAATTGACTAGAAAGGCCCAGCAATCCAACAGAAAAAAAATATATATATATGAAGATGTAGTTTAGAGAAGAGCGAATGCAGAAGGCCAACAAATAAGATACTCAGAACTCAAATGATGATCTATCACTCCTCAAGCTGGCAAATTTGAAAGTTCAGGAACATCATTGTTGTTAGGCAAAAAGAGTACTCATATTACCGGTTGTAGTATGTGTTATAGTCTTTTAGAAAGCAATCTGGCTACATATCTTAGAAGTAATATCTGTATGACTAAGGAATTCCACTCCCTTTGCTCTTAAAGAAATAAAAACACCTGTATGTAAAGATGTGTATTACAGGTTGTTTTCTGCACTAGCGTGATGGGGAAAAAATGGACATAAATGAATGCTTACCAGGAAAGGAATGGTTGGCTCTATTACAATACATCCAGATGAGGAAATATTTTGCAGCTGTTTAGAAAGGAATTTAGGGCTGTATCAATTGAATTGAGAGACTTTTATGAGGCACTATTGAATGAGAAAAGCCAAGATGCAGAAAACTGGGTATAATATAGTAGTTAGAAAAAAAAATTGGAAAAAATATGCGTATGTCTTTACAGTTATATATACAAGGATCAATACATGTACATGAAAATATATATGGAAGAAAATATACCAGGTAGTTAATATGGGTTACTGGGGGTAAAGGGATGGCATTCAGGTTGATATGAATGGAGGGAAGTGAAGAGAATTTAACCAAATAAAAAAGAACATACACACACAGAGAAACTGCTAATAGATAAACAACAATATGTATGATGACTTTTGTATATATGTGCAAATTTATATATATATGTGTGTATATATATAAAAATTTGCATGTATATGGGCACATGCGTGTGCACACATGTGCAAGTGAGATTTTCAAAGTAAATAATTCCTATTGGCTCTGAGTTGTTTTATTCAATTATTTATTTATAATTTATGGAGTACTGTACTAAGTAGGAACCTAGATCTGAAGCCACAGTAATTCTCACAGTCAAATATAGCATGGTAATTGTATCATGGCTCTCTTTGTGTTGTAAGTAGCAGAAATCCAACCAAAAAACTAGCAGAAATCCAACCAAAAAACTAGCGTAAGCAAAAAATAGAGATTTATGGGCCATGGGAGCCTTCACATGCAATTAGATTCAGAAACTCGATTCAGCTCTCATCAGATGGTCTGTCTTTTGCTGTTATCTGTATTTCCGTCTCCTGCTTTCCTTTGTTTCTCTTTTTACATTTGGCTTGATTCTCTCTTATTCTCCCCTTGGATGGCATGGCAGTTCTTTGATACATCTTTTTTTCTGGTTCTGTGCTCCCTCCTCTGGTTTCTGGCATATTTTCTTTTCCTCTAGCTCCAAATAAAAAAAGTCCTAGGAAGGAACTTTGACAGGCCTGGTTTGAGTCACATGCCCACCTAGACTGATTCTTGTGAGCAGGGGAATAACTGAGTACTACGATTAGCCAGGCCTAGGTCACAAATCTGCACCTTTGGAGTGAAGAGAGCTGCAGTATTGTGATTAGTGCACACAGCCCTACCACAATCACATAATTTGAGTGAATGGGGAATTTCCCCAAAGAAGCAGTGGCAGTTGGGAAGGCAAAGTGTGTTCAAAAGGAGAAAAAAAGATCCTAGGTAGACAAAGCAACAGATGTCCAGTGAGGAGGCACTTCAAAATACTGTACAAACCAAGTTTGCATCTTTGGTGTCAAAGGAATTGAGTAGTGGAGGAAGTAGATTTGAGTCAAATAGCACTATGTATTTAGGGCAATGAAAATAGTCTTTTGTCCAATAGCTTAAGTTGATTTATGGGAATTATATTTGGTAATGATCTATTTGTATATTTTTACCCCCAGATGATTTATAAAAGGATCGAAGACTTAAGTGATTAATAAGGAATACTAGCTTCATATATTTGAATATGTGATATATTTTTCTAGGAAGTTGATCCAAAATATCCATCAACAGAACAATCTGGACTGTGAAAATAGCTAAAGTATTTAGCCACGGATTTTTTTAACTTTTTACTGCGAAAGATTACTAGGACAGAAAAATGTCCCCTCAAAGGTGTCTGTTGTCCTAACTTTTATGCTAATCCCTTCCTTTTCTTTTTAGTTTTACCACCCAAACTTGCAAGCCTACTACAGCTTAGTTTTGCCTCTTTTTTAGAGCTTTCTGGAAATGAAATCATACAGTGTGTGCTCTTTAGGGTCTGGTTTCTTTCACTCAACATCAGTTTTGCTGTCTGCAATTATGGAAGGAAGGTAGGGTAGGAATGGGCTGGAGTGTTTATCTTTTAGGACCAAATAACAACTCCTACTAATCATAACCCTATAAAGTAATAGATTTTAGGTTATTATTTGAGTTCTTTGAGGGATCTTAGAGTCGTAAAGAGACGATTAAGTGTTTTTTGAGAACTCTAGCAGTTGATACCCTGTCTTCCCAAGAGGGAGAGTCACCATGCTGTTTCATGCCATTCCATTTAAGTCTTTAATACATTTTGAGAAACACTGCGCTTGCTGCATTTCCAACAATCTGACCGGAGCTCAAGGCTGTCAGCCAGTCCTGCCCAGAAGTGCCACTCTCAGAAGCAGGACTTGATGAAGGATTTCAAGCTGATGGTATGGATTTGCTAAAATTGGTCTTAGAATTAAAGTAGATGTCTTTTCCATTGTGTATTTGAACATTTAGTATTTTCTTTGTGTTACCAAGCAGCATCCTATATGAATTTTTATAAATATGAACATTATGATAACTTAACTCTATATCTTAACATAGTCAAAGCTCTGATAGTTTCTGTGAAAAAGGAGAGTATTGTTTCAAATAATAGCTCAACATTGTCTAAGCAAATAATTTATGTTCACTGAATTATAAACTAGAAATTGTAGCAGGCCCAACACAGAACATTCTTGCTCCTGTTCTTATGGTTAGAAGCTTGGTACAGAAAGCATTAATGTGACCGATTATGAAATACTGATAATATAATATATTCTCACATACACATATAAGCCTTTTTAAAATCTTCATTCCCTCCTTCCCAGTTTTATTGTGATAGAATTGACATACAGCATTGTGTAGATTTAAGGTGTACTGCATAATGACTTGACTTACATATATTATTAAATGATTACCACACTAAGTTTAGTTAATATCAGTTGTCTCATAGGTACAAAAAAAATAAATAAAAGGAAAAGGTGTTTTGTCCTTGTGATGAGCACTCATAGGATTTACTCTCTTACCACCTTTCAGGTATATCACATAGCAGTGTTAACTCAGTCATCACGTTGAACATCACGTTTCTGGTACCTGTTTATCTTATAATGGGAAGTTTGTACTTTTTGACCACCTTCACCCAGTTCTTCTTGCACCTTCACCTCTGGTAACACAAATCTAATTTTTAGAACTCTTTCTGTGTGTGTGCGTGTGTGTGTGTGCGCACGCACGCACGTGTGTTTTAGATTCCACGTGTGTGCGCGCGCGTGTGCGTGTGCGTGTGCGTGTTTTTTAGATTCCACATATGAGATACTTGCATGACATTTCATTTTAGCATAATGTCTTTAGAGTCCACCCACATTGTCACAAATGGCAAGATTTCCTTTTTATGGCTGAATAATATTCATTGTGTGTGTGTGTGTGTGTGTGTGTATCGCGATGTGTGTGTGTGTGTGTGTATTTATCACGACTTCTTTATCCATTTATCTACTGATGGAACTTAGGTTGTTTCTATTTCTTGGCTATTGTAAGTAATGCTGCAGTGAACCTTGGGGTGCAACTATCTCGTTAACATTGTATTTTCATTTCCTTTGGATATATATCCAGAAGTGGGATTGCTGGGTCATATAGTAATTCTGTTTTTAATTTTTGAGGAGCCTCCATATTGTTTTCCATTTACATTCCCACCATCAGTGCACAATAGTTCCCTTTTCTCCACATCCTCGCCAATACTTGTTATTCCTTGTCTTTTTGATAGTAGCCATTCTAACAGGTGTGAGGTGATACCTCATTGTGGTTTTGATTTTCATTTCCCTCATGATTAGTGATGTTGAGCGCCTTTTCACGTACCTCTTTGGACATCCATATATATTCTTTGGAAGAATGTCTGTTCAGGTCCTTTGTCTGTTTTAAACTTGGATTATTTGTTGTTGTTGTTGTTTTGCTATTTAGTTGTATAATTTCTTTATATATTTTAGATGTTAACCTCTGATCATCTATATATAGTTTGCAAATATTTCTTCCCATCCTAAAGATTATCTTTTTCTTTTGTTGATCAGTTCCTTTAGTGTGTAGAAGCTTTTTAGTTTGATGTTTATTTTTGGTTTTGTTTCTTGTACTTTAGGTGTCATATCCAAAAAAATCATTGCCAAGAACTATATCAAGGAGCTTTTTTTCCTATGTTTTCTTCTAGGAGTTTTATGATTTCCAGTTTTACATTTAAGTCTTTAATACATTTTAAGATAATTTTTGTGAGTAGCATAAGATAGTTGTCTATTTTTATTTCACATAGCCTTTTGTTGGTGTTTCTATATGTATACTCTGGCTTTCTATGCTTTTAGATGTAATTTTACTTATTTATTCTCACTAAATATTTTACTCTGTTTTTCTCATGTCTTTATGTATATGTTTACATACTTTTCCTTTTTCACACAACTTTTATACATCAGTCCTCTTGATGGCAATGGAAGCAGTGACCGCTGCGAATTCTACCATTACCATCAACTTCAGTATACCTGGAGTTTAGAGGGCATTACGGCTGAGTGGGAAGGCAGCTGCAAAGAGACTCTAACGTGTTTGATTTGGATGGGCCTTTGTCTGTGTGTGGCTACCAAGAGGGCTGAATGAATGGGAGCTGTTCAGTAAGTGGATCACCAGTGACCAGCCCAAGGCTAGGGATCATTCTGTGAAGGCAGCTAGGACTTGGGTGTGATGACAGCGATAGAACACCTTCTTGTTCCTTGGTTATCATCCTGAAGGTGTTCATCCTACAGGAGAATAAAAATCCAGCTCTGTAGAGTTGTAAGCAAGATAAAGTCATGTTTTACAATGACGTGGACACATGTATTCTGAATAGGGTCAAGATCAGGAATGAAGAAAATATTTCAGGCACATGAAAGGAAAAGGGATAGAAGAATTGATGTTTGTATCTGTACATCCTTTTTTGTGTGTGCAAGAGTGGATTTATACAAATTGGCTTATGGTAGCCATTTTGAAATACGTGTATTCATTCAGATACAGCAAACTTAATTTTTTAAAGTCTTACCAACATTTTTTGGCTGTCAGAGAGTCTGTTTACTGATTGACTTCCTTTTCCCACCAAGAATATCTTGCCTCTGATATCCATTATATTACACATTCTTGTATTATATGAAGTCAGTTAAAAAATTAAAGTCATGAATAAAAAGGAAGGTAATATGTAATTTCTGAAATTTCATGATTTCAGAAATTATCCAAGCTTAGCTGCCTTCTGCCTCATCTCTGTTAAGGCAGCATGGTCCATGGAAAATTTCAAATTCTAACAGTTTCACTTTCCTTCTCAGGACTGTTATGGCAGCCTTCTGCTATTATTGCTTGGGGTGTGCTCGGGAATTCAAATACATTTTGATATTTTCCAAGCAAAATTTAATTTAAGACAAATCTACTACCAAAAAGATCACATATATTAAAGAAAAATAAAATTTATTTGTCGATTTCTCATATTGCTTCTCCCTTCTGACAATTGAGAAACTAACTGCACATGAAAGCAATCTCCAGCCATTTGTCTAAAGCCAGTAATAGCAACTAAAGGCCAGCATTAAGGACTATTGATTGTATTATGCTTTCTGTTCACTGCAGAAAAGAGTTTACATGAAATAAAATAGTTGAGTAGGTGAATGTTGAGTACTTCTTGATAGCGCAGTTCATGTTTGCAACTATGTGCATGTGTTAGCTGTGTTCTCTTTTTTGAGAATTCAACTTCACTCGCTTGTAATGCTTATGTCTGATGTCATAAGCTTTACCTCTTCCTTGAGTGAGTAGATATGGTTTTCAACACTAGTATTGAAACAAAAAGTTTGAAATTGCGTAGTCAAATAATAATCCGTATAACAGATTTTTTACACTGGGGAGGTGAGAACAATTAGCTCTACTTAATATGCTCTCATTTCTATCAAAGTACTTTCTGAAAACACACTGTAAGCATTTATTCTTAAGGTTTCCCATCTTTTGTGTATTCCTATTGAGGGTATTTAGACAACTGGTATTTATACCAATGACACTTTGAATTAATCTATATCGAATGATAGAATTTGATTACAAATGTATCTTTCTGATATGTGTCCCATTCTATTTTCAAAGAAACTGGAATTTGTTACAAGTTTCAGAGAGAAAATCTCTGTATCTAGCCATACTTACAGTGCTCTGGAGTATATTTGACACCATTAAGGTTCTTAATTCCTTTTTTACTATTATATATGTAGATGGAAAAAGCTAAGCGTGGAGATAACGCTTTTCTGTCCTGGGGCAGAAATGTGTGAAAAGATGAAGGGGATTTAACCTTTTAAGTCTACTGCTTCTAATCGTTGAAGCCCAGAAAATTCCACAAAGCACTTTTCAGTAGAACTCTTCACTATATTAGAATCTCTTTTTTCCTTTGCAGACTCCCCATGTGGCCTTTTTAAATATGCATTTCAGACACAGAGTTATATGGAGAAGGTGAAAATGCCTGGAAGATTTCTGGTTTCTGTCACTACTTTTCCTGCCATTTTGCATCTCTGCCTCATTTGGATGATGTGATATTCAGAGGGACACCTTAATCAAAATTGTTCTTCCACAAGACATCTGGCCAAAGATTGTATACAGAATTCAAGATGGCTAGTCAACTGCCAGAAGATGCCACAGACTCTCAAGTCTCCGATGAGCTTGAATGTAAGATCTGTTATAATCGATACAATCTGAAACAGAGGAAACCCAAAGTGCTGGAGTGTTGTCACAGGGTTTGTGCCAAATGCCTCTACAAGATCATAGACTTTGGGGACTCCACCCAAGGTGTCATCGTCTGTCCTTTCTGTAGATTTGAGACATGCCTGCCAGATGATGAAGTTAGTAGCCTGCCTGATGATAACAACATCCTTGTGAACTTGACTTGTGGAGGCAAAGGCAAGAAATGCCTGCCAGAAAACCCCACTGAGCTGCTGCTGACCCCCAAGAGGCTGGCCTCTCTCGTCAGTCCTTCTCACACTTCTTCCAACTGTTTGGTTATAACTATCATGGAGGTGCAGAGAGAGAGCTCCCCGTCTCTGAGCTCTACTCCTGTGGTAGAATTTTATAGGCCTACAAGTTTCGACTCAGTTACCACTGTGTCGCACAACTGGACTGTATGGAACTGTACCTCTCTGCTATTTCAGACATCCATCCGGGTGTTGGTTTGGTTGCTAGGTTTGCTGTACTTCAGCTCCTTACCCTTAGGGATCTACTTGCTGGTCTCTAAGAAGGTCACCCTCGGGGTCATCTTTGTCAGCCTCGTCCCTTCCAGCCTTGTTATTCTGATGGTGTATGGTTTTTGCCAGTGTGTGTGTCATGAATTTCTAGATTGTATGGCACCTTCCTAATCTATATGCAAACTAAGAAACTTTACACACATTGTCATGTTTCAGGTTAGGTGATTTATCATTTAGTTTCTTTTATAGTCTCAATGATTAGCATTTATAACATTGACAAAGCCATTGGCCATATGTCTGTGATCCGTTTTCCATCAAATGTCAACACAACTGGTTTTCCTGTATGCTGGAAGTACAAATGTTGATTTCTATTTAGGTGTTAACAAAGAAGCAAAAATGTGTAAGCTGAGCCTTCATAGAGCTCTTTGTGTGAGTCTTCCCAGAGAAAGGGCAAGATTTCACTCAGTCCTGCTAGATAGACACAGAGGCAGTGCGGGGTGGTATTAGGCCGCAACAGAGGTCTTTGCAGAAGGTGGGAATGAATTGATTCCTCTTATCATCATCATTGACAGTATACAGTGGGGAATGGATGGGAGAGGAGATCTATTTCAAGACACATCCATTTGAAAAGTGTGCGCTCCCCCAACAGCCCTGTTGTTGGAGCTCCCCTGAATCTCCTTCAGCTGTTTTCTCTATGTTGATGTTGTTCTCTGTGGTCTGCTACTCCGGTTGAGGTCCCTTTGCACATTCTCCCTTGCCAAGAGAAAACTCAGCTTCATTCTCTTGTGTGGTTTCAATTAAATATCTGTTTTGCCCCGTTACTAAAGAGAATTAAAAATATTAAGCCATATGCATCAAAGTAAACTTCATGACAGAATTTGGCCACTTATGTTTGAGACACACCCTTTCCCCATATTTATTTTCCATTCTCTTCTATCTTCTCTGAAATTCTTACAGAACAGTTTTTTTCTTGGGCATCTTTATTTGCATCTTTCCTTGAAACATTTTAGTTTAGTTTTTTTTTTTAAACCACATTATTGAATTAGCCCCATCCCTTTTCCTGAATGAGTTTCCACTTAAATTAGTCGCTATAAGCGTATGAGGATATTTTTCCCCCATTGTGTTTTAAATTCTGGTGTGGACTTATTTAACTTAATCCTATAATAATTTGGTGGTAAATTCTGACAGTGGAAATCCAGAAACAATGAATGAGATGTTCTGGCTCACAGCTTGATGTGCTGCAAACCTAAATATTTTGCAGTACTCTGCTGAGACCATCAAAATGTAATTCTTTAGGTTTATGTGCAAGACTGCATTGCAGTAGGCCAAGCAAAAGGATGGGTAAGAAACACACAAAGCTGATGCCCTGCTTGAAAAGACTCTTCAAGGGAGTAAAGTAGAGGTGGTGGAGTACAACTTCATGTATTGCTATCCTTGTTGTTTTTAAGTCCATTTTAGAATGGATTCATGTTCTTACACAATTTATTTCAAATAAAAGTATAAGCTATGTGACTAGAGTTAATGAATTTCTTTTCCTGATGTAGGGGCAGTTGAATGTATATATTTATGAGAAGAAATTGTTTAGCATATTTCAGGTTTGAAGGAATAGAATGTCCACAGAAACTAGGCAACCAAAAGCCTTTTAGTCTCTAAAACCCATTACTGATGATGAACATTAAAATATTTATGAAATACTCTTAGAAAGGGGCATTACTAAGACTACTTTAACTTGTTTGTGATGAAACATTTGTTGCGTGATATAGTTACAGTGGGCCAGTTCCAATTTCTTTATTTGGGAAAAATTGACACTTATTTCTAGAATAGTAGTTTGATTTTAATTGTATAACTATTTGAGAATATGTATGCCCAAGATAAGTGTGACAGGAAAGTATACGTGGGATGTGGTCCAATGAATTTAAGTCCAGGATACAGATAAATACATTTATGATTTCACAAAATCTAGTTTGGATAGCATTTGAACACAATTTCCAAAAATCCATTTGTACTTAGAGTAATTTCAATGGTTAGGAGATATTTTGTGATTTGGACTTACGTATTTAGAAGGGTTTTTTTTTAATACTCATTTTGTCTGAACAAAAGTGATGTTAAATTTGCTGTTAGAAATGTAACAGCAGGTAAATTGGTGAGCTATATGATGAGATTTCTAGAAAACACTGGACATGGTTACTATGCATTTTGCTTATTTGTATAATGTCTGCAGTTTTAAACTTGTAATTCTCTGTGTATTGTGATAATCTTTTTTTTTTTTTTTTAAGTTGCCAATAGGCTCATTTGGTTGTAAAGAGTTTAAATGTATGACAACAAAAAACTCTTCATACTGTTGTGTGGAAAAAGGACAATGCTTCAATATTTATTCAGTGTGGTGTTTTGTTTGTCCATTAAAACGTTATTATTTCCGAACCAGAGTTTTATTTCTCTGACTCACCATTGAGATTTAATGATTATTTTGGACCTCTGTTTTATGTTAGAAAACTGCAAACATGAACTTCCAGAAAGCCTTGATTCAGCTAATGCCTTTATCATATGAGTGAAGACTTTAGAACCTTCTGACAAAGCGGATCTAACCCATCACACTTCTAAAAAGCCTTCATACTTTTTTTTTTTTAAGCAGGGGAGAATTAGGGAAGGTAAAACAAAAATATTTATCTTTTAATGCATTTTCAGTTTTAATTTATTTGATTTGTTTGTCAGATTTTGCGTAGGTGCTCAACAAAATAGAATCCATTTGGTTGGGGAATCACTAACCTCATGTGGGCTGGGCAAATTTAAAAAATTACCCAATATCTAAATGTGACTATTGTTAGGTAAAATAGAAATAATTTAGGAATATGTAGCAATTAAATGTTTATGATAATTAGTGAATTGGTTCCATATGCTAATCAAGAGTTATGGTTTCATTCACTTCCAAAATCTTTACATTAAAGAGCAAAGAATCAGATTAAGGAAAACACCTGTGCTAAATCATAACATCAGTGTGAACTCGTGCTTATGTGCTGAGAGACCCTTGAGTAATGAGCATTTGCATGGTTATAAACAGATACTAGGCCTCAAAGACACCCTGAGTTTGAAGAAATATCCTAATATGTCAACCAGGTGGACATGGAAGCCAAAGGGACCCTGTATTGATAGGCAATTTATAACTGACTTAGCAGTTATAAATATAAGCTTTGTGACTGCCGGGGTACAGAAGAAGTGGAAGTGAGTTAACATGAGACAGTGCAATGGAGGTAAACTATGATTCTGCACATTTCTGAATTTTTTTGAGACTTGTTCTATTTGCATGCTCTTCTTGGTAGAGAAAACAAATACTTGCCTTGATTCTTTTGATAACACCACAGAAACACTACATGCTATTCTAGAGCTTTCCTCAAAGCCTTAATGGTAAGATCCCTGAAAAAGTTTAACCAATTGCTCTTGAAGCTTCGGTCTTAGTTTTCCACATCTCTGCCCCTTTGTTAAATGTTTACTTCTCTTTGCCTCAAACCCTTCCTGAATTTTTACTCCTCTGTGAGAAACTGTAGGCTTACTATTGAGTCTCCCTTTATAAGTTTACTTTTGTGTAAAAGAGATTTTAAAAAAAGAATGCGAATAACAAAACCTTGAAATCTGAGTAAATTCCAAGTGAGTTCTGAAGCAATACAAATTCAGCTTAACTGCTTATATACCATTTAAATCTTGGTATAGTCTAAAGCTAAGTATACTCCGTGTACAGATGTTTATGGTTTTGACATAAAAGGTGCTTTAAATTTAGGAACACAAAAATAAAAAATTAAATGATAACCTGAGTATTATATATACTAAGTAGGGATCTATACTAATATATTTTAAGTGATTGAAATTTGATTTAATTAAAACATATAATTACCTGGAGCACTTATTCTATAAGCATTTTCATGAATCATGAGTTTATTAGATTTGCAACATATTAACATTTCTCCTTTAATTGAGATGGTTAGGATTTCATCAGAGAAAAGAATAAGTTCTGATTTAGCAGGTCGTTTTAGATCTTGGTTTGCCCATGAAGAGCAATGCTTTAGGTAAGAAAGTTTTTATGTTCAGACCCATTTACCTCGAATAAATGGTCTGATCTGAAGACATACATTTGGGAATCTCTGATGTTTTAATAGCCACTGTAGCATCGGGAGTTGAGAAATGAAGAGTAAGAGAGAGCAGAGTGCCAAGGCTAAGCTCTCTGAGTCCGTAACCAGTTTGACCAGTAGAGAAGCTGGCAAAGGGATTGCACTGGATCAGCCAGAGCGAGTGGAAAGTGAGGAATGGAAGCTGGAGAATATGTGGTCACTGGAGCTAAGAGAAAGGAGGTGGAAGTAGGATGATTAGATGAACATAAGTGGAAGCAGATTTCAGATTAGTTTACTTAAAGATTTTTCAAGATGTTTTTATGATTTTCAAATATATAGAGAAGTTGAGAGAACCATATAATTCTTACTGGTACAGTTACCACTTAGAGTCAGCATTTAACTCTGTACTATATATTTTTTTATCTTCCCTAAAAATAAGGCATTCTCTAATTTGACTAAAATATTATATATCTAGGACAATTAAAATTATTTTCCTAATATCATTTAATGTGCAATCTACTCAAATTTTTGTACTTGTTCTCAAAATATCTTTTATAGTTTAAAACGCAAACCAGGATCTAGTCAAGCTTCATGCATTGTACATGGTTGTTATGTGTTTTATTTTCTTTTATTCTGGAACAGGTACTACACCTGGTTTTTCCCATGACATTGACTTCTTAAAGAAAGCAGACCAGTTATCTTGTACAATATCCCACATTCTGGATTCGCCTGACTGTTTCTTCATGGTGGTGTTTAACTTCTATCACTTGTATTTTCCATAAACTGAAAGGTAGGTCTAGACGTGTGATTGGGTTCAGATTTTGGGCAAGAAATTTTCTTAGATGATGCAAAGTACTTAGTATTGCATCACATCAGGAGACATGAATGAAAGGTTGCCCCATCACTGTCTCATCATTCAGGATGGTGACCTCCAGGTTTCTCTATTTCCTCTGTACAATTAGCAAGTAATCTGTGGGGCGATACTTTGGCATCATGCAAATATCATCTTCCCTAACAATTTCTACGTCATGGTCTTAGCATCCAGTGATGATCCTTGCCTGAATCAATTTATTTCATTTTCCAAAGATTTGGAATGCATTATTCTGTGAGACTAACTTCCCTTTCACTGAAGGTTTCCAAGAGAGAGTGTTCCAGTTGTGTCTCAGCAGGTATGCTGTGAAGGAGGTAGAATCATAGGAGCCTA